AAAGGACTAATTTAATCTCTGCGGAGGAACCGGGGTTATTTTTACTACGCGATTTTCTATAGGTCGGCGTCTTACATGAATGCAACTATCGCATAACAGCAGAGCTGACTGTACACATCAATCACATGAAAGAATCACAGTCAATTGCGGGGACCAACGAATTGCCGATTGTAAGTGTATAAAACATATTTTTTAAATTCCCTTTAATTTATTTACGTTATTTCAGAGCTTTAAATGTAATGCCATCATATTACTCGTAAATGTTTGGGTGCTGGGAACGCATGACATTGACTTCCCATTAATTTACATTATAAAAGATTTTCGATTTACGCCGATTCGTCCAGGAACGCATCCCCGGCGTAAATCGAGGGTTACCTGTATTAATTTTGTGTTTCAAAAACAGACATTAAAAGAAATATATTTCAGTGTAGTCAAGGCACAATGAAAGTCATCATTTATAATTGTCTGAACTCTATTTAAAAGTTCATAGATCATATCTCATTTATTACACTTATATTGATGTTTCTCCTCTTCATCACAAACAGAAGTACAGCAAGTCAAACTCCTTCAGAAATAAACTGGTTCAAGAAGCTTTGTTGCCAAATAAATCTGACAGAAATTGACAACTAAAGTCAGAAACCAACAATTACAGTTGGTGACTACAAACTGAGACCTAAAGTTAGCAACAGTAATGAAAAACTCCATAATCAAGATCACAGTAGTATCAGAATATGTATATAATATTTCAAATCAGTTTGTATTTGAACTTGTAATAAAATCTGCACCCTCACTTGTTCCACTACAGTGGTGAGATAAGTATCCCTTAGTTCCTGTGGAAAAGCATTCACCATGACAGCAAGTGTTCGCTCTATTTCTGAACGCCATTCATTCAGTGCACTCTCCTTCTCCTCCGGAGAATTTTCCTACACAAAAAGAAAATTATGCACATTAAGGTATACATGCATGGGTGATCTAATATCTGGAATGTTTAGAATATCTTTGCTATAAACATGGGATTTCAGTCACATGCACTTGCAAGAAAATGTAAGATAATAATAACATTGAACTTTTCTTGAATCTTGATTCCCTTTTAATAGGTTCAAATATTAAACATTCAAGACACCAAAATTCTCATAACTCGCAATTCATTTACATTATTAACAACATCCTTCTGCAATGTAGTAACAGTGTGGAATAACTAACAAGTGAATCAAATGTCAATTGTGGTCTACTGTGTTGTGGCATTGAAAACTCTCACAGATGGTTACCAACATTTTGAAGGAATGCATTATCTTCTCACCCTAATGATGAACACAATATGTTCCTCTGAAACGTTGGTAAGCACCTACAAGATTATACAGCATCACAACCCAGAAGACCAAGATAGGCATCTTCACTGCCATGAGAAACTCTAATCTCCACAATAACCTGAATTGTATTGTTGGTATATAATGGACGTTCTGCAGTACTACTGTAAAGAGTTTAAAAGTACTGGAATAGTTTTGAATTCTTATTTTGGATTACCGATATTTTGATAAAGAACGTAAATGTTGTTCCAAACCTTAAATCCTGGAATGTGGCTGGCAATGGGCTGCAATCTATAGCAAGGTGGTTGGGCATGACCATCCAGTTTGTACCACTTTTGCAACAGTTCCTTATTGTCAGCATTACTAAGTGCCATTTCAAAATCTTGAATTTCAATAGTTTTAGGTAAAAGGGGTGTACCAAGAGAGTTACTTAAAAATAGCACTGGAATCACATATGCCACTTCCATTTGTCCTGCAAGCAAAACCAAATAATCACAGAGATGCACATGATTATAATGAATAGAGAATAGCATAAAATGAAATATTTGCTGCACTAGCATCCAATCATTATTACTGATTCGAATTTATAATTAACTTATTTCTATAGTATTTATTATGTGCCCAGTTTCTCTGATTATTTATGATTCAGCTTTCTTCAGTATATCAAAAATTAATGATTACTTTAGTTCTTACATTCCATTAACATTTACACGTATGTTCCTCTTGTTTTAGCATGAAACATAATAATAACTTCTGCATTTCGTAAATGTATTCTCTTTATGTTCTATTTATTATTCTCTTCCTGGGTATATTACTGCAAATATATATGAAAACTACATAATGGTAAAGCCTATACACAGGGTTTCTTATATTAAAATGTTTATCATGTTTAGGAAACATAATGAAATTGTCTATACTAACATTCCAATTTAATTTATTATTATAGTACAATACACACACACACATGCGTAACATATATATCCTCTAAGTTTACTTACGTGCCAGTTCTCCAAGACACAGTTCAGGGAACTCATGATCTTGCTGCTTCTCTAGACCAGTTTTCCAATGTAAGTCAACAATATGAAGCTCATAACCTTGTCTGCGGCAGTAGTCTCGAAATGTTGGGTACACAGCATTGTGAAGCATTCCCTTTTCAATGCAACAATCTGCAGTACCAGTATTGCATAAATAAGTTAGGGGATGTATACATAAAATATTATTTTTCAGACATTTACTTTATTATAGCCTCTACAGTTTCAATTAGTGAATACTCTCATATATGTAGCAACAGTAGTTATGGGATACTGCTTGTTCCACTAAATCATAAACTTTCAAATTTATGAATGCTGCCAGTGACATCAGAGTTGTCTTGTGTTAGTGACTGTTGTTTTTGGCAAGTGTCATACATGACTAAATGTATTGTTGATTTAAAAACATTACTGTATCCTGATAATACAATGTCACAACAGACAAACAAAATTAAGGAAGAATCGAATTGTTGGACTTCCAAAAAGCAAAGAATGTGAAGTAAAAAGAAGACTGAAAAACAGTATGGCCATGAACATTTCACAAGATACATTCTCTGCCATTTCTTCTGTAAGAGCAGGCAACCATTCACTATAAGTAACAAAGTAAACACAAAACTGGCTTTCATATAAATCATAATTTCTTATAGCATCTCTGCATAAAAGGGAAGCATTTAAATGTTCTTCCTGGAATTTGTTTGATGAAATACAAGAACACGGATAAGAAAGAACATCTGTGACAAACTGACCATTTCCGGTTGAATTTGTTGTATCTGTAATAAATTACTACCTATGTGTTACCTTACCCTGTGAATCAGCAGCACAGACATAGATGACAATTTTGCGAGTCTTGGTGGTAGTCCGAGCAGATGCAACACGTCCCATTAATAAGTTCTGCAGATTCTCTGGTAATTGTTGCACTTCTTGTGGAAGTGATGTCTCACACTTATCAAAATCCCGTGGACTTTGTACTGACGTACCAGGAGGAGATGAGAGAGACATAGAATCAGCTGCAAGCAACAGTAACATCACATAAGACTGGTTCACACAGAATCAACAGCAGGCTTTTTGTTACGTGTCATAAGCATGATTAACATTAAATAAAATGCAAGCAATAGGAACATAACATATGCACAGATTAATTTAATGTCTAGTAAAGTGTCCTCAAAAGACAATAATGATTAAACTATAAAAATGTGTAATTTGATTATGCATGTTTCAGCTATGGATACTTCATGCACAAATGTTTACCTCTGGAGCATTAAATGTGTATTATATTCATTATGTTTTAACACTCCTTAGGTAAACAAATTAAAGTAAACCATACTTCAAAACCAGCCTGTGTTCATCATTTCGGAGAAATGCCTTCTCACCTGATATACTGGAGGTAGCAATATTTCTCACTTTAGTCAGTCCATCTTTCGTGGGTTTTCTCTCAAAAGCCACAGCTGAAGGAGTGGCCACACTCTCCACCTGAACTCCACCTCCTCCATTATTGCCACGCAACTGCTGCTGCACTGCAGCAACAACAGTGGAGGCCTCCAGAATGACCCCAGAATGTGGCTGTTGTGGTAGACTTGTACTGTGATTGCCATGTTGTTGCTGCTTCTTGGACTTTCTATCAGCTTCCTGTTGTTGCTGAGAGGATTTCTTGCCTGATACCTGATAGCTGGGAGACCTACAGCAAGCAGTAGATCTGCACATGTTTATTTTAGCTGTCTGTCATTTTATTTATTAGTTAATAAATATAAAATAAATTACAAGAACGAATAATACAGATACAGATTGTGAAGAGAAGAAGTTATACTGAGAGTCACATGAATCATGGCTACAATTTTGTAGCCTGCCACTGCATTAACAGCTATCATGGACCCATCAATTAATAAAGGGCAATTTAAATGGTGTTCATATTGAAATAGTGATCACTTTATTTGTAAACCCAACAAATACTTAAACTTTGTGTCAAACTACAACGATTCTTACTTCCAAATTTCATGTTCCTATTTCTGTTTTACATGAAGAATTTAAGAAAATTGCTGTCTTCTGGGTTGTAGCACTGCACAGTCTTCCAGAAATTTACCAACATTTCAAAAGTGCTTACTGCCTCCATGCTCATCACCCCTACCTTCTTCACAAGCTGATAGTATGCTCAGTTAGGGAAACAACCTCAAATCACACAAAAAATCTCTGTCTTTTATGGAATGTGAAGTTTCATTGCTGTGTTCAAAAAAGCCCACTAGGTATGAGGCCCTGTGAAACATTTGATAAAACGCTGTTCTTTAATAGGAACTTACTAGCCCCTACCCAAGCTCCACCTGGAGGATTGCACTCAGTCGGATATTCACAACTGCTTATTCGATAAATCATAGCTACCCTCCATATCTACAGGCCTTGGCCTTTATCTGCAAATTGAAGATGCGCCATGCAATATTATGGAGATAGCAGAAAGTAATACAAAGGAATACAATTAATGAAGAAAGGTTTAAATTTGGCTAAAATATCAACTAGGGTACATGTCATTATTTTCTTCAGGTTAGATTACTTAAATGGGTGAGTTACTTTAAGTATGCGGTGGGCTGAACGTTGCGGCGATAGTGAGAAAAGAGAAGTCAGCATCCTAATCTACATTTTACAATTTTAACTTTTCTTTTCTAAATTCTTTAAAATGGAAAATATATTAATAGTCACTTCATAAAGAACGCCTTATTTATGTCTGAAAGCTTTACACTATTTTACGTATCCCCTTTAACCCATAGCGCTATCCCTTTTGTTTTTCTCGTGGTCGAACAACCGACGTCATCGGAATGATGTGATGACGCAGACCGCGCGGATCTCTTTTCCCCCTTCGCCCCTGTAACCACTTGCGCTCTTCACCGGGGGCTAGGGTATTGACAAGTTCTCGCGAAAATAACAGAATTTTAAAAGAACGCGTTGTATAGAAATGCGTAGGCTTATCAAAGCAGAAAGTAAATATGGACCCGTGACTGAACTCGAAAACAGCATATGCTTTAAAGATGAAGGACGACAGCAGATATTTGTGGTCACATTCGAGTAATGACTACCGCTATTGACTTCAGAGTCTTAACTGTCCTCTTTTCCACAAAAAAAAACGCTAAAGATTAAAATATTATGAACTATAATTTTATCTGATATTTTATGCGGGTGGGAAACTTGGTCTCCTACTCTTCAGGAAGAACGCAGACTGAGGGTGTGTGCGGACGAAGTACTGAGAAACAGTTCTGTCATAACAAAAACAAAACTCAGAAAGCTGAATAAAAGTACAGAGTGAGAAGCTTCATAACTTTTACGCTGCACTGAATATTGTTAAGCTGATAAATTCAAGAATGACATTGGCGGGAAACGTGAGACATGAGTAAAGTCGTAGTCGGAAAACCTGACGGGAAGAGACAACTTGAGACATCTCGACGTAGATCAGTGTATAATATTAAACTGCATCTCAGATAAATATTGGGTGAGGGTGTAAACTTGGTTCAACTGACTCAGCGTAAGGTCATGACCTACTTGAAGCATTAGTATTCTTTGATTCGCTCAGATAAACTAAGAAACCACAACGTAGGACGAGTTATGAACCAGGAATATCTGAAATCACGGGGTTTCGCTTTGGAGATGATAAAATTATTCGATCTGATTAATTTCCAAACGCAACACGGTCCTGGGTCTCAGTTGATTTAATGATGCTTTCTTAACTGTAGAGATTGGCGAATGATCGTTCTGGAGAAATGGAAAGAAAGTAATCATCGCAAATTATTAAAATGCTATCGCAACATACGGCTAGGCAGATCTAGTAGTTAAAGAAGGGAGAAAGAAAGTAAAAGCCGGTCTCCTGACCGATCTTACAACATACCATATATGAGGAACAGCGACATCTGATCAGCACATAAAGAAAATTAGTGTACAAATATGGAAAATTATCTCGAAATATTCATCATCATCATCACCACCACTGCTTTGGCTGCACTATTCCATGGTAATGAAATTGTTGTGATTATAATATCTTGGGAGAAGTGCCAAAATTTATATTATCGATATCGTTTAAGTTAAGTTTCTAATATTCTGTTTAATGTGCTGAAACAGCTAAACGCAAAAGCAATCTTTAATTCTTCTTCAGCGTTGCCCAACTGTGCGCTTCGCTGAGGAGCGCCGTGCTCCTTCGGCATCTTCTTCGACAGATCCAAGATGCGGGTTCGTCTACCTGATCTGTGCAGGCGTATTTCGGAGCAGATGCGAGAAGAGTCCTTTATTTTAGAGATTGTTCGTCAACTATCAAATGCATCCTAACTTACTTAACGTTACAATATTATAAAATATTGTATTTTACACAAGAACATGCAATTTGTTAGAAAGGTTGAGTGATACAGACGATCCTAAGTGCATTCTATGGGAACATTAGAATGTTGTTTCAAGGTAAATAGTAACGACAGAAAATTAGAATTAGAATTCGGAGTGCACAGAATATGCAAACGCGTTCTTTACTATTCTGATGTTGATGTTCCTTTATCAGATACAAAAATCTATTGCTGATAGCTAATCAAGAGTGGAGATGGCACACAGCTTAAAGAACATGTTTTTATGTCACTGACTATTACCAAAGCAAGAAGGACGAGAAGAGCGTGACATGTAGCATGCACGGATCGATGCGAAACGAGTACAAAATGTTAGCTGAAAAACGTGTAAGTTGTCATTTCAGGAACTTTGTCGAATTTAGAGGATAATATTAAACTTTATATTACAGAAATATCGTTAGAGCATATTAATTGAATTATTCTTCATTAGAACAAGGTCCAGCAGTGCGCTCTATTTATCACAATAATGTACCACTGGATTCCATAAAATGCAGAGAATTACTTTACCAGCTAAGCGACTGTCAGCTTTTAAAGAAAGTGTGTGTAGTCCATCTAATAATTTATATTCCTATAAATAACATCGATAGATTCTGTGAATAAAACTTGAAGATTTTAATTGAATGTTTGTTCTGTATAATGTACCCATTGTACTATGCGAAATGTGATCAAGATCGATTTGAATTATATTCAAAAAGGGGCTATAGCTGACCGGCATGGGCACGTCCATGTCACATTTAACAGATATTCATCAATTTTGGGGAGGATGAATCAAGAGGACTAAGCGAATTTGCTTGGAAAGGGAGTAAGCCGGCGTAGCTGTCAGTAGTGACTAACTACGAGCTGGACTACCGGGGTTCGATCCCAGACGAAGGCAGAGGATGTTTCCTCTAGCATCTGCGTCCAGACCGGTTCTGGAGCCAACCCAGCCTCCTATCCAATGGGTACCGGGGTCCTTTCCCGGGGGTAAAGCCGGCCGGGGCGTGACGCTGACCACTCACCCCCATCTAGTGCCGAGGTCAAGGAAGATAGGAGCTATACCTCCACTCCCCCCAAGTGCCTACATGGCGTATAGTGGGACAGCTTTACCTTTTACTTACTTTACTTGGAAAGGAAAGATCTGATAACGCTGATTAATATTTTTGTCAAAATGTATGTAGTGTTTGTAAAGAGATTTTTCAGAACACCTCCAGAAACAAATGTCTACGTACTTACTCTTCTGATCTTGTAGAAACGCTGTCTTTGTCCTTATGAGCTTGCCCCGAAGAGCAACTACTGCCCATGTTGACGAATTCAATTGGATATTTGGTTAACACATCTTCTATCAATTATATTTCACTTTGCTTGAATTCTATCGCTCACATTTCTTATCCGAAACGTCGAAAATTTCGTCTGCAATAAAAGTTTCCAAGCTAATTATAATGTTAAACATCCGTGATGTTACATTATTTATTAATATTTCGATCAGGTTTACTCACAGGAGGAAGTAAGTAACATTTAGATCGTGGTGAATCTCTTATTTGTTTCACGTTCTGTCTTTATATCAACTTACGGTTATTTTTCGGGCTGTTAACAACAGTTTTAGCTAATACCGGGCCAATATGAAAAATACTCTATCAAAATGAACAGTAGCTAACGAAAAACTCACCAAAGTTTTTTAAGACTTTTATACGAAAACATTAGCTACATTCCAATATTTATTTGTAAGGTCAAGGTTTCATTGTAAATACAGTCCAGTTTCAAAACATTTGCCAATGTCCGTTTACGTGGTCCTTTATAAGTTTATGTACACTAGGACAAACAATTGGAGGATGTTTTTAATACAGTGCGTGTTTAATAGGTCTATTGTACCACAATCTTACTTATGGTGTCACGTTTTAGTTTAGTGTTACGGTTTTACAGATAATGTGCCAAATTAAAATTATCTTGTATTATGAATTAGACTGGAAAATCCTTAAGAACAACTTAGACATTCTTGAGGCTTGCAAACATAATATTTTATTTTCTATATTGGTATTATTCGTGATTTTAATATTAAGCCATTTAAATTGTTGTTTCTAACTAAGAATTTTGCTGCTGCAAATATATAAGAAACCTCTTTAAGTTCTTCATAGTTTCCTCTGTCTTCAAATAAATGATGTGACTATTACCAAAATGTAATTTTTACAATACTATCATGCATTACCAAGATAATATTTGGAACCAATATGGAACTTGTAAGCCAAGTTCAACGACATTTTATTATAAACAACAATGTTGTTTGTAAGGTTCTATCGGTAATCAACGTGATTTATGGAGGTCCTAAGTTTCGTATGCACACAACTGATGTAAGATTTGAGGTTTACACAGCGGTGAGTATGAAGATTTCTGTCTTCTGGGTTGTTGCGCTGTATAGTCTGGACGATGTTTACCGACGTTTCTGAGGTCATACTGCCTCCGTCATCAGGACGATCGACCAGACTAAACAGCGCAACAACCCAGAAGACAGAAATCTTCACACAATTGATCATTCACCCAGGCCATGGCCTTACTCAAATCTCAGGATCAAGCTCACGCACTCCACAATAATAAAAAATACGGAAAGCCTAAATCTGCTGTTGTTGTGTCATGCGGTTGGCCCAAATTAAAATGAATTACCAACAGAATATTTCTTTACTAACAACTTAACGAAAAGCAAGCCACTTAGAAAACAAACTTTTTACTGGCAAAATAACTTACATTGCTACTTATATCAGAAAATTGCATATTTCGAATAGAGTTTCGCATTCGAAGAAGCCTTGAAACCCGACTTTCACAAGACAGTAGTTAGCACAAAGTGACCTTATTTGACCATAAATGACCTTACATCCACACGCGCGCGTAGTATTGGCAGCCATCTTTACATCTTGCCGGCTGACTGCTTCTTTTCGGAACACTTCAAGACATTGAGACGAGAAATTGTCCATTGTTCATCCATAATTGTAAAATTTGAATGAAACGTTGTTCACACAGCTCTTCTCATTCCATCCGATCACTTATCAAGTTATTTTCAAAAACAACAGAACTCACGGCACTTGTAGCTGGTAGTATGTTAAGTATTAAAAAATACACAAAACACCTCTCCACTTTGGACTATACCAATCAATGGGGGAGTAAAACGGTGTTGATACTAAATTTGGAAACTAGAATGAAAATATTCCTGTTTTCTTTTCTCTTTCATTTTTATCACTCAAGAACCGCGAGTGAACACGAGCGAACGTAGTACCTCCTCGCGCTCATTTCCCGAGCTAAAAATGAACTCGCCCCGAATACGCGACCACAAGCCAGCTACGTCAGGGCAGCTAATACACTGCGCCGTATTTTGAGCAATTTTATTTTGGACTAGACCATCACTCGCAAGAGCAACAGACTGATACTATCACAGCCATAAGTTATCTGCTTAACCATCCTCTAGGATAACAAATTTACGTAATTTTGTGCATAACTAATGCAATTTTATTAAGAAATTCACTTTCTATAGTGACATTTTCTTTTGCAATGTTGGCTACATTACAGTTCCTGGACTTGTAAAATAATCGATGGTGTCTGTCATATGGCAATCAGAAATACGCAGGCGCTATGGATGCTGCTATTAAATGAGTAGCAAGAATCCCATGTATCTAACCCACGATCCACATAGGGGAAATGTCTGGGACTTCGCACACAACTTAAACTTCTATGGTTGTGTAGATAACTCTTTCTTCCAGGCAGCAAACTTCTTGAATTGACATGGTTTTCATTTCTTAACTGTTCATGGATGTGAATATCATTCCTCACGTCAATAACCCACTAACAATTGCAGACGTCCAGCCATTGTATTGACTTCATCTATAAGTCTATTTAAAGCCCTAAACACTTCTGGACGAAACCGATATACAGTATTCATTTCTTGGGTCAACAAGTGTGGTATGCCCACAAGAAAGTTTTCTGATCATTTCGAAGTATCTGAACGTCAGTTCAAAGAAGATGTTTCGAGGAAATGTTTTAGAGGAAGCACTTCGAGAAGACAAAACAAAGAGCACGTCTGTACCTTAAGAAAGATATTGTAATTTGCTACCCTCAACTTCCTTTTCGTAAACTCAAATGGTTAAAGAATTTGGCCTACTTATTGAAACAAAACTTCGGTCCAATATTACGCATGAAAATAAACCGAACTCTTAACAATCCGTAAAGACTCACACTGCTGTTTTTGCCTTCGCCTTGTTCCCACTATTCACATATTTCACGCCTTCAGTGCGGTAGCCAGTAATTATGAAGTCTTAGATCGCTCAAACTTGGAATCTCAGGTTCAAATCCAGCACAGGGCATTAATTTTTCCCCTCCCCCTTTTTCTCTGTCTCGTGGTGTTAAAAAAGTCTAGCGATGGTTTGAACTGACCTACCCACCGATTTCGAAAGCGTCAACAATATCACTGGTCCGAAATGGTAGTAGTTTTAAATTTATAATTAGAAAGGGACCATCAGTTCTTACGCCTATTAATTAGATTCTGTGAGTATAATAACGCAGGATTTTAATGGAAGCGGCCGTTTAATTTACCTCGTAATAACTCATGATCCAGCATAGCTGTCTTACAGGTCCATCTCAGCGTTTCCTCAAACGACACAAAAGACCGTAATTTTATCATTTGAAACACAAATATTCAGACTGGTCCGACAATTAACTACTCACATTTCACTGCAAAAAACATTCGGCTGTGAATAACGTCTGTATTTAAAGCTTATACTTGATTAAATTGCGTCATATGTAAAGTTTCTGGAGTATCTAATGAGAAATCTCAGGATGGTATCAATGATGACTTAAACAGAATGTGAAATTAAGATACTGCGGACAATTTATAGATACATTACTGGTATAAGCATTCGAATCAAGGAGCTCAGGAAAAAGAAGGAAACAATCCATGAGAATAGCAAATTTTCTGACAGAGATTTAAACCAGATCGTTTTCCGCAAAGTAATGTCAATTCTCTAAAGCCGAGTAAATATTACATTATATAAGAATGAAAAATTAATTATGGTGATTAACATCCCTGATTAATACTCAAAATGCCTCCTTTAGAGTCTCGAAAGTAAATCATACTATTATGACTGAGGCGTCCGTGGCTTACCTCAGTCCTAAGAATGCTAGAGCAATAAACTGAAAAAGGTCTAAGTTAACGACCGCTTACCTCGTCATCCCTTAACGGTATAGGCAGATGATGTCTGCAGTTTAAGCAGCATTGTTAAATAACTTAACAAGCAGTCAAGAATACGTTATGAGTTAGCTGAAGTCCGATCAAACTCATCCAGCGTTCTGATACGTTAACTGAATTCAGGTACTGAAGAAATGTGTAGTGGCTATAAGCTCAAGTCTGTCCACACTTAAGCGGATCAGAAACTTAAAAACTGAAAGCAAGGAATATAACAAACAAAATGATTACCCAGCATTTGTCACTTTTTATGTCGGTCGCTTACTTTGACAATATAGAACTTCTGTCGTGACATCACAGACTTTCTTTTTTTAAATTTCATATTCGTGATTGATTCTTTGCTTACCAACTCACACTTTGCTGTCCTTACATAGGATACCGTAGTACTGCTAATTGCAGGTTTTCGAAGCCTCGAGTAAGTTGAGAAATGATAATGAATAGTAACTGAAGAAGGGTTTAAAAGGAAACAATCGAAACCTGCTTAAAGTTATTATGAACAGACAATTTCCAGTATCTGCTAAAAGAATTTTTATAAAATCGGAACAATGGCATTTATATAATATTAAATAACATTCTTACCCCCTCTCGTTATGAACAATCAAATAAAGCACACACTGTTTTATATTGCTAAATTTTTCATAATTATTCACATGTTGAAAGCGAATCCAATAATAATTATACAGCTGTGTAATGGGAAGAAACATATTATATACAAAAAATATAGGAAACAATACAAATGAACCAGCTGTTATTTGACAATTAATAAAAATAAATATTATGTCTGCTGAGAATACCAATGTTAGTTAATACTCACCTTTATTAAATACGTCTTTAATTATACTTAACAAAAAAAATTTATAAATGCCTTATTAATTTGTAAACTTTAAAACAAGCTATCGTTGAAGAGAAGCCTCTCTTTGAAGACTCACTATAAAAGTCGTCGTTCTACAAAGCTATCATTATAGGCGAATGAAAACCACAGCTTTTTTCCTAAATCATTATGAAGACAAGGGGTAGGTTAATTTGGATGCGGGATCAGGCCATTGTAAGACTTTTGCATACACAGGATAACACACGGAAAAGAGCAACACAATTGTACAGCAAGGCAAGACAAATTGCACAAAGGAATGTTACACGTCTAAAAGGAAGTACTTTGGCCCGTGTATGACAAAAGCACCGCAAATTCAGGGATATGAAGGATCTTTAATTTAAGGCCAAGAAATAAAAGCTGTTGAATTTATAACGTGCCATGCACAGCATCTCCTTTTCAAAAAATCGTTTATGTGGATACATTTATTCCCCCGTGCCTCTTTCACAGACCATCGACATATCCACCACCTTAAAAAAACTTTCTTTGTGAACTCATATGATTGTGGGTCTGTAAACCAGGAAAATAATCTCTTTGTAAGAAATGCCTCAAGTACATATAAACGTGTGGTTTGTTTTTATTCACATAATTAATCAAACTTCCATGCAACATTTATAACTATACGTGGAAATGATTCGCTTCTTTTTACGTAAATTCCTGATTTTCAGTGATTTATTAACTTATCCCTGAAGAGGCTAATTTTTACGGAACAAACCATAAAAATATATAGAGATCAAAGTTCTTGTAGTAAAAATAGCAGAATTTATATCAATTTCAGCAAACGAATACACGATGAAGTAATGTGGCATCACTGGACTAAGTAACAATGGAACATCTGCAGCGAACTTACGTCAGACTGCTCGTGATTTGATTGCATTGTATTTAAATACATGCAAGTTTGATAATTGGAAATGAAATGTCATAAAGAGAACACAATTTTGTAATTGCTGAATTTTTAGACAAATGTTTAGTTCACACATGAATGGTAATTTCCCATGAAGTGAAAAATATTATGAACGGTTTGTAAATACAAGACACAATATTCTAAGACTAGTTTGAACAATATAACTTATATTGTAATTGGTTGAATAAAGTTGGTAATAAATTCTTTTATTTATATTTGCATCCCATTTATTGGCTGTAACTGTATAGTACATATTATTAATAATAATAATAATAATAATAATCCGTGGCGTAACAGCCCTCTGAGAGCCAAAGCCGACTAGCTGACTGCTGGCCTCACGTTCACATGCCTAAGCAGAGGTGAACGATCATCCAACCAGGTATAGGGTGACGTGTGGTCAGCACGACAAACCCCCAGCCACTGCTAGCTTTCCTGACTGGATTACGCTACTCATTATAGCTCCCCAATTTCCTCACGATGCTGGGTTGGCACCGGTCCCATACACCAGTCGAAAGCTCATGAGAAAATTTCTTTCCCCAAGACTCGAACCAGCGCGATGAGACTTTTTTTAAATGAAGGAAAATATATGTATGGAATTCAATAAATGCTGACTGTAAACAATATATATGCAATTATGGCATTGTAAGTGCCCAATTTAAAACTGTGAGGCCTATTCTTAAGTGGAATGATTTCTCAACAACCAGATGAACAAACATTCAAGTTGATTAATGCAAAAAAATAATTATATTTTGGCTCTAGAATTCTGCAGTCCCATATGGATTAATATAAAAACTGTCAAAATTACTTTCATGGCCAATTAACAAAAAATTATCCTTTTCTGTTAATCAAAGAATCACAGCAACCTCACACTGTTTCTATATCATTATTATTTTTTAAAAATGTAGATTAACTGCTTTTCCTACTGTCACATCTGGAAGTTTTTTGATGAGGTATGACACAATGCTGAAAATAGTACCACTAAGTTGTTAAACAGCTTCAACCTGCAAAATTAAATCTAAAAATGACTGATTTTCATTACACATTCATAAAAATTCACAGATATAATTAAAGCCATGGCATACACCAATCTCAGCAAGTATGGTATCTATTTCACACAACTGATCCAGGGAGAAAACTTTGCAGTTTCCACTTACAATTCCTTACCTCTTTTTCAATGTGGTCAATTAAAATAAAGTAAAATTTTTATACATATTCAGATGGAGCTGATAAATCAACTACTGTGTTTCCAGGCAGAACAGAATCCCGATTGATTGGGAAATATATTTTCCTAGATAATCACTAGAAATGAAAGAGAAACTTGCAAATGAATTAAATACATAAATTTACATACAGACAAATGATACTTGGTAGGATTTGAGGTTTTCATGACAGTGAGTTTGAAGATGGCTGTCTTCTGGGTTTTTTTAAAGATTTAGTGATAAGAGAAACAATTTTATATAAAATTTAATACAGTACATACCAACTATTTTTTTAAAAAAGGATTCCAATGGATAGTAACAACATTCTATTGTCATGAACTTCAGGTTTTGGCATCAACTGAATACATTCAATAATATGTCATTGTTGTATTTATTCTATTTTTTAAACATTCTATCTTTTAGAACAGATTTTCTAAATTCATTTTTAATTTTTGTTTAAACCAGACTGACCTTGGTCAATCCACCTCTGGATAATCAGGAGTCTACTGTATCACAAGAAAATATGTTTCTTCACCTTTTCAATATTTTTTGAACAGGAATAATAAATCAACAATTACATAATTATTTTTCAGATGGCAAGCCAGAGAGCTTCAAAAACAGAATACAAAATTCAGTAATAGGCACACATCTTAACATTCCATGTTTAACTTCATTCACCTTTGAATATAAAAGAAATATGGCACACTGCAGAATCGATTCCAGAATATTAGAAAACGATATTTTAATGTGAGGGAAAATTATAGTTCTTGATTAATTATGTATATGCACATACACCACAAAGGAGAAAAGATTAAAAACAATTTTTTCCTTGTTACTTTATTGTAAGTTACTGGCTATTGCTTTCAGACTTTTTTGATATCCTGTTAACAAGCTGTAAGTACTCTCCTGTCCCTCCATGAAGCTTGGTGTGAACATATTCCACAGCTGACAATTCCATATTGATAATAATTAACTCGCCAACTCATAATGTATGTGAATGAAAGGTCTTGAAATGCTAAGAAATATGCAACTTGTACTAAAGCATTCCTTTTTTACAACATGCAAGAAAGCAGAATGGCAACCTCACAAAATGTTTCCATGCAATAAATGATAAATGATAAAAAAGTGGCACATTATGAACACATCTACTATTAGTACAAGTGGTACTGAAACTTACAATGTCTATTCCTTCAGACCCTTAACATATACCACAATAACACCAGGTAATTTTAGTCCCTGTTAGTGAAGAAAATATATCATCACTTCAGTAGTTCCAAACACAGTTTCTGAATATGTTCTTATAACTTTAAGGTTTGTTAAGTTTTATACAGCTTCATGTACTGTAGGGTTTGTAGTGAATGAACACTGATCAAAATTAAATTAACCTAGGAATGAAAATAATATCCATATCAAATTTCATAAAAATCTGCTGAGATGACCTGTGCATTACATATCCTCTGCTTCATTAAGGTTGTCATCCATACCTTCACTATGTAAGGTTTTACCTGCCATCTGTAATAATGCTTTTGCTTCTAAATCACTTTCTCTTACACTTGTGCGCACATCCTAAAAGAAACAAAAAAATTACAATAAAGGATTGTTTTCACACTACTTTTAGAAACATAATACAGAAACCTCATTCAGGTAAAGGTAAGATTATTTACAAACAATATCCAGATATCCAGGTAGAATTCATGATACCAAATTTCCTTTAATTCCTCCCATTACTTTCACAGATGTCAACATAAATAATACTAATCATACTCAGCTAATCAAAGAATTTTCAGCCTTGAACAGATCTCAAGAACAAGAGAACATTAATAAACCCTGTTCTCAGTCAGACAAAACCAGTCCACACACTTAAACTGTACTTCTCGAAGATCCATTTTAATATTATCTTCCCATCTATGCCAATGGTTTTTTCTCTTCAGACATTCTGACTAAAATGTCAGATATTGGAAAAAAATAATTTAACTGTAGTTAAAATATGCCTTTGCATGCTTTTAAATCTATATATACAGCCTACTACAGTCAGAAAAAAAAGTAAAGCTGTATCGCTATATGCCATGTAGGTGCCTTGGGAGAGAGGACGTATAGCCCCTACTCATTCTTAACCTTGATAAATTAATAATTTTGTAATTTAGTGATGCGTCATACAAAAATTCTAGGTATGAGATTTACAATTTTCAGTGGTAAGAGTTCAGATTGTGTGGTCTTCTGGGTTGTGACACCAGTAGTCTTGTGGGTGGTTATCATTTCAGAGGAACATACCACCTCCATCTTGTCATGTTCAGATAAGTTCCCAGGGAATTACTAAAGAATAAAAGCAGAGCATTCTCCAACAGCATGATGTTTATACAGTGTCTGTCTACCAAGTGGTTAAAAATGTATGGGGGGGGGGGGGGGGGGGGGGGGGGGGGGGGGACGTTATAAATTTCAGGCTAGCTGGTCGGGATTCAAGCTGGGTATTTACATTTGCGAGTGTTGGCCATGTTGGTGTTCCTCCGGTAAATTCCAAGAGCCTAGATAGGACTGCAGAACAAAGTTAAATCAATAGGAAACAGTAACAGCTTATTCTGTGTAATGTTTACGTTTTAAAATCAATACCCTGCCCTGTAATAGGTTTATTTACTAGATGTCTGTGTTTGGAATGACGTCATATACACCCCTGACCCCAAATAAAATCTCAGGGCCCTCTCCTGGCAGCTGTTTGTGATTTATTACCTGTGTAGGTTTCGTTTGTTTGTATAGAAATTCTGTTTTGCAGTATTTGTTCAACTTATTATACCTTGTCTGTAGTCGGTGTATACAAAACGACACGGCGCTATATCGGACACGATTATAATGCTAAATAATACATTTGTATCGGCGTGTTAACTGTGAATCCCGTTTGAAATTACGTAGGAGAGTTCACAATGAGTGATTGGCTATATATATATACAGGGGCCTTGTATCGTAATTTGTATGAAACAAAATCCTGTTAGAAACGAAACATTTCTAGGTCCCTTTGGATTGAATTATAAATAGGATTTTCTGCATCGTTTGTGTATTGGTACGATACGATGTGAGCATGTCATTAGTTTTAAGTTCAGAAGTTGGCAGTTCTTCCCCGGCCGCAGCCCCTGTTAAATTCTGGGAGAAAGGTAAACAATAGACGAGCTAACATCATTCAGCCTATGACCAGGGAAGAGGGCAGGTGTGTTGAAGAAAAATATTCCACGAAAAAGACATCGAACGTCGTACTTTAGTGACCAGGGTTGTTCGTATCAATGTGTGGTTGCCACATCACTATCGAGGTTCTCGTTCGATATCGCGTTATCTCCCGGGCAACGAACCCCTTGTGTAAAGAAGTACTTTGTTAATATATAGCGTTGTAAAGAATGCACAGTAGGGCAATAGACGAGCTGTCGTAGGTATAGAGATTGTCGTTCATCGTACCTGTGTTTTGTTTCATTCAAGGTCTTTTGTGCTTGAAGCCATGTTTTCAGTATATCGATACTTTTCGATTAGAGATTTACGCCAGACTTTAATCGAACCTAACAAGTATATTCGTAGGTGTAAACATGTGGGCGGACAGATATCCTAACCTATCAAACGTCCATTTTATTACGCGTTTCGTGTAACGAATACACAGAAGTGTAAAGTATGGCCAACTGCTCAGAATTCAGGCGTTTGCAAGTTTGTATCCAGTGGAGTAACATGAACTGTGCTTTGTTCAAACAGCTGGTCATAGTTTTGTTGGTTAGGCACGTATGTTATTCCAGAAGTAATTACCGCTCTTAGAGTTTCTTATACCCTTTTCTTTTCTGTTTTTATTGTTTCTTTTTTATATTTTTGAAACCGCAGTCGATTTTAAAGACGCTGGCAGCGAGCTCTGTGCCCCTTCTGTGTCGGCATACATTTCATGGGATTCCACAGCAGTTTGGATTTTATTAGGATTGGCGATTTTCCAGTCGGTAGCGTAGTATGTCCCTTCTACACCCCCCCCCCTCC